ATGAGGGAAAAATTGTTGCTGTTGTCACACCCCCGCCGGGAATCGAACCCGGGACCTTTGGCTTTACGCACCAATGTTCTGACCACTAAACTACGAGAGGTGACAACAACAACCACGACCAACCGACCTACAAGGTTAACGATCCGTCGAACTAATGTAACTATATACTGAATATACTATGATTAAACATACATATAATTTAGATATCTTTTAGAAGTGAGTTAGTTTAATATGAAATATTATTCTGAAAATTCATTTCTGAATTTTTTACCCACTACACGCTACCTCAAATTAATGAGGGAAAAATTGTTGCTGTTGTTACACCCCCGCCGGGAATCGAACCCGGGACCTTTGGCTTTACGCACCAATGTTCTGACCACTAAACTACGAGAGGTGACAACAGCAACCACCACCAACCCCTCATTAATTTGAGGTAGCGTGTAGTGGGTAAAAAATTCAAAAATGAATTTTCAGATTAATAGAATGTTCCCTATTATAAATTAAAAAATATCCAATTATAAGGGACTTCCTTGTTGTTGCAAAAAGACACAATCGAATCACTGCTTACAATTTAACCATAAATGACGTCTACCTTGATTTTTTCATTGGTTAATTAAATTTTTAATTAGATGTCAGTCCGAATAAATCTCAAAGTAAGAATGAACACCAGTTTTTAAGTGAGAGTTCATTCGGAATCATATTCTTCGGAGTCACTTGGGAAATAAGGACAAAAATAGATCAGGAAATAATCAAAACCGTTTCTCTCCAAAAGCTTCTGATGAGTCTCAAGAAGGGGACAACCAGGAAGTAATAAGATCCTCCATTCAGGAGAGAAATATATTTTTAGATTTGTACCTACGTGTTATTTGTAAAATCAATTAAGTGTCGGGTTGTCGATAAAGGGAATTGGATGTAACAGTCATGTTGAAAAAGGATCACGAGAGGAAAATATATAATATAATAAAGAGGATTGGGTTTGAAAAATAATATCGACTCAATTTTAAACTTTAGTAATGAAAAATGTCACAAACAACACCCCCGTTTAATCTTGAGAAGACTTCTATCAAAAGGGATTCTAGAATCTTACTATATTTACTTTACAAGTTATCAAAGGCTAAACACTAGAAAACAATATAGTGTTTGAAAAATTTTCTTCACTTTAAAGCGAATAAACAGTTCTTTTCCTAAGTAATCAAACTTATTACCTTATCAAATAATTCGAAGTGGTCTGTATTCTGTCGAAACTGACAGACGCGGATCGCGATTTCGAGCTTTTTGGATCTCATCAGCGCGTCGCAGACAGCTCCGACAGAACACAGACCAACTTTTACCTGCTGTCTTAACAGCGCGTTTTAGAAAATACCACAAATGGCGCGGTAAACGCCATCTGTAGTACGATGCTACATTACAGACCAATTTTTACCTGCTGTCTTAACAGCGCGTTTTAGAAAATACCACAAATGGCGCGGTAAACGCCATCTGTAGTACGATGCTACATTTTTGAATTACGTATTCTCCAACAAGGTCCCGTAGGAAAAATTTCCATTGAACTTCAATAGGAATCAATGGAAAATTTGTAAATTCCATTCGAAACCATTTGGCATAAATGGAAAAATAATTGTTTCCACTGTAAGTTACAACCGCCATATTGATCACAGAAGTGACTTCTTTTTGTTAAAGGTGACTCGACCTTGCTCTATCCGTTGCTTTATATCTCTACTGCTCCTTCCATCTTATACTATACAATAGATTGCGAAATACTTTGGCCAGAATGTTTTTAATTGTAGCGAGTAATAAAGGATACCGTATCCTAACAATTCTGATTGTATTTGCTTAAAGGAAGCAAGTAATTCTCTTACACGTACTTACAAAAGGGCCAAATAGTTTTATGCCAGTTTGACACTGAACAGGATTTGTCATGAATTTCACATTAATATAGCACAGGCGGAAACATTTGAAACTGTCATCTACACACATGTATATACATAAGATGAATAATTAACAACAGCAAGTAGGGGTTGAAGTACATGGCCGGAAGTTGTATGCGAGCATATAGAGTTTAGAACGTTCATTAACAATGTCTTAACATACTAGACGTGTGCCAACAATATTCTATACATTCAAGATGACCTTTGGTACATTTTAGGTATTCAATGCGCAATGCGATTAAAAGTTTCTCGATTTTCAATTCTCTTTGCTGGATAGTAACTTCTTAATTTGGGTTAGAAAGTTTTTAATATACACTTCGTTTACTTTCTGTAGCGATGTGACCTTCAATTTGACCGGCGCATAGTAGAAAAGAACAGCACTAGGCCAGAAAAGGAAGGAGACAACCCTCGGCCAAACTCTTAACCGGTGANTTATTTAACCCTTTAAAAGAAAAATAAAAGATCCATCAACTTTTCTTTTCTTTTAACTAGTCCTGCCCCCTGCCCCCGGCCATTTTTATTGCTCCTCTATGACGTAGTGTCGGCCATCATTGTTTTCTAATTGTTGCAGTTGTCGGCCATCTTTTTTTTTCAATTGTTGTCGCATTGTTACTTATGTCGGCCATTATGGTTTTTTAATAGATGTATAGTAATCAATGATTAAAATTTAAAGGAATTGTTTGTAAATGTATGCAACACATCGTACACTTCAGCATAAGAAATTGCTGATACTAACTTTCATTTGCTTTGTCCTGTGCTGACAGCACTCATAACATCTACATCATCATCATCATCATCATTATTTCTGATGGTGTTTCTTGATAGCGTGACGTGTCGAGCGAAAAAATGTTTATTTTGGTGCTAAGTAAATGAATTAAACTCTGTTGTGTGCACCTACCAATTCTTTTTTTAATTATTTTACTATGTGACTTCCTAAAACTAATTTCTAATTTCTCATTACAACTTCGACGTATTCTAAACCAATGTCACTCTCATTGGATAAAATTCATTTCTTCCTAAACTTACTTTTTATCATCCCAAGTTTTATGTGACGTGCTCCGGAATGACATGTATCGCATTTCAGGAAGCTTCCTCAAAAATCACGTATATTTACCGACCCCTCCTAATGGCATACTCCTGATGTCCTTATATTTTATATCTTTATGTCTTACAAGCACGCAAACATCTGTCATCACTCATATTTTATAACGAAATTTGCTTTAAAACGTAAGCAGAATTACTTTATGCTTTCGTAATATATAACGTCAAGTTTTACTTCACCATTTATATAACAGCATATATTCAAATTAATATAATTAGTCTTCTGTTAATTATTAACTAACCATANAGGACACCTTCACAGGCATGAAGGTCTAGTCAGAGACTTATTAGAAGAAGAAACAGGAATTATGAGGAGTAGAGGTAGACCTAGATTAGATTACTGTTCGCAAATAGTTAAGGATGTGGCATGTTCTAGTTTTAGGGAAATGCGAAGATTACCTTAGGATAGGAAAGAGTGGTGGTGCGTGTCCAACCAGTCTTAGGGCTGCCGACCTTATAATGATGATGATTATTCTTCTTTTCTCAAATTTCAACACTTGGTGTCCCAAACTAACTCAAGGTGTCGATTAAAATATTACATGTATAAAATGCTTTCACTAAATTTTTCCATAGTTTTCTGCCCGATCCTGTTGGTCGGATCAATTAAACAATTACAAAGAATAATTTTTAATTAAACCTTCAGTACAAACGTGTGAATTCTTTCCAAGTTTGTATATCCTTTTTAAGAGCACGACGCAGCCATGTTATTAAGTTCATGCAGTTAACTATGCGCGCACAACTTCCGTTGCATGCTAAATCTGCCAAAAGGAGTGTAACTTCACAAATTCTACTGTAAAATTGTTTAGGTTCAAGAGATCTCTCGACATCTAAATTAAATCAATAACAAATGAATTCAACTGGCTTCCTTGATTCTAAAACCATCAAGTTTTCAGGAGATACTAACGTTTCACTTTTCGAAACTTTTTCAGAGATCATACGACGTGAAACAGAGGAAGTAACTGCATCAAAAGATCTCTGACAATTTCTCGTGAAACAGATGACAACTGCTAAACACTTAACGACGTCAGAATAATGTATTCGAAATGATAAAAAATACTGTAAATGTATAGCACATTCTAATTTTGTAAAAAACGTAACAGTGCTTTAGTGCCTATTCTGCTATTCTTTCTGTTTCTTTCATTCATGAAGTTGTATCGGCTTGCTCAGTTTTGGAAGCTCTACTTTAGTTATCAAAAAAAATAAGAAATTACCAATAGTAGGGCAGTTTATGTTTCCGCTTACTAGAGCATGGAATGTTTTGTCTTTATGTTTAAATATGGTGTTTTTCCTTTCAGCTAGAGCCGCCCCCCTTGACCATCTCGAACGAAAATGCATCGAATGAGGGTAAGACGATGACAGACGATGAAGATGCCAGTTCGGATGATGTAAAAACACCTCTACAATCACCAAAATCCCAAACCAATAGCAAAGAAGAAGAGGAATCGTCATTGGCCAATAGTTCAGACAACAAGAGTCCCAACACAAGGTAAAACATTCTTTTCATGTATTATGGATGAATGTAAACCTAATCCGGTAGGCGGCAGAAATATTTATTAAGAGGCATATCAGGAAAAACCTTGTACACGTACTAGTTTTAGAAGTTTTATTATATCCTGGTATATGCCTGATAATCTCTTGGTCATCACAGGAAACACTTAAATTAGTAACAATATTAGGATAAATAAAAATAATTGAAATCTAAACTGGTACGTAGTAGGGGTACAATTAAGGACGATTACCAGCCCGGGATCTAATCAAATTATAATTGGGACGTTTAAAATTGGCATAGTCCCCAATAAAACTGTCGCAACTAGACGGTTGCTGACAGAACGCCTACTTTGACTTATAGAAAATATCGTGAACATAGAAAAGAGATGTCAGGTAGAAATTGCAGCGGACACTAATAAAGAAAAAGGAATAACATTACACTGATTACTGTGTAACAGAAAGAGATACGGAATTTGAGCATGTTACCAGCATCGGACTTTAAATAAGTTCAACATTTTTTGGAATTTAGAAATGCAAAAACGTTTATTTGAAGATATACAGGGTTTGTCCGGAAAGTAACAGGACTGAGTCAATTTAAAAAAAATTATGGAGCCAATCGTTACAATTCTTTAAAAACTTTCAAAATAGGCTCCTTCTACGTCGATGCAGCTCTGCCAGCGCGATTTCCAAGCATTGAAGGCGTCATGGAAGCCATTCCTCTCTGTCGTCTCAAAATGCTTGCCTTTCATCGGCCTTTTCAGGCGAGCAAACAAAAAAGAGTCCGGGGAGGTCACATCTGGGCTGTAAGGTGGCTGCGGAAGCGTTGGGATACCGGCCTTGGTCAGGTAGCTGTCCACAAGAAAGGCGGTGTGAGCCGGGGCGTTATCGTGGTGCAACTTCCAGTCGGCTGTGATGTCTTGTCGGACCCGATTGACCCTTCGTTTGAGTCTCTTGAGCACTTCTACGTAAAACTTGGCGTTGACGGTTGACGTGGGCGAGGAGACGCCGGCGTGTGCCACTCGGAAGATTGTCTCTTTGTCTCGGGATCATACTCAAAGATCCATGGCTCGTCACCTGTGATTACGTTATTCAAAAATTGGGGGTCACTTTCACACATGTTTAAATTTTCTTGGCACACTTCCACTCGCCGCAATTTCTAGTCGTCAGTGAGCACTTTTGGGACCATCTTCGCGCACACCTTACGCATGTTCAAATGGTCCGTCACAACGTCATGAACCACAGATTTTGGTAAATTTAATATCTGGGAAATTAAACGAATACTTAGTCGACGGTCTGAGTTCAAAACATCGCGCACCCGAGTCACATTGTCGGTGTTTGTCGAAGTTGAAGGTCTTCCAGCACGGTCTTCATCGGCGACCTCTTCCCGGCCCTCTGAAAAGGCCTAGTGCCACCGAAACACATCACTACTTGCTAAAGCCACATCTGGGTAAGCCTGCTTGATCATATCAAACGTCTCTGTCGCAGATTTACCGAGTTTCACACAGAATTTAATCGCGTACCTCTACTCTAACGAACGCTGCATTTTCGGCTTGCACCACTCACAGAAACACGTCGCGCGAAAAAGCCTGTTCTGACTCTCCAGGTGCTCGGAGACAACTCACCAGCCGCTCGTTCGTTAGCTAGGAATGCCCTCTACCGAATCCAGTATAGTCGCAGCGGAAGGAAATCAGTCCTATTACTTTCCGGACAAACCCTGTAATTTCAACCAGGCATTTATAAAGCCGACCCCGATCTTCTGCGTACCCATGCATCTAATATGTCTCTAACTAGACCTTTATGCCTGAGCAGGTGTCCTACCAACCTATCTCGCCTATTTCTTATTGACTTCCTCTGTTCTCCTATTCATTCTAATACCCCACCATTTCTAACCTTCTCTATCCACGGTATCCTCATCATTCGCCTGTAACACCACATGTTGAATGCTTCTAACCTTTTTTTTTTCGCCGCGCCTAGGTTTCGCACCCACACAGCACCGCGCTCCATACACACCTTTGACAATCTTTTTCGAATTTCTAAATTAATCGTTCGCGAGCATAGAAGTGACTTCTTTTTACTGAAGGGGATTCGACCTTGCGCTATCCTTCGCTTTATATCGCTACTACTCCTTCCTTCCTCACTTATCTGATTTCCCAGATACTTAATTCTAATTTTTCGTCTCCTATTTTTATTTGCGCTTTTTTCCTACTTCTTCTGCCCTTGCATATTAGTATTTTTGTTTTATTTTTATTTATTTTCATACAATACTGTTTTGTTAATACCGTCCCCATTTTATTTAAAGCTATCTTTAACCTGTATATCTATCCCTACAGTACTGTCTTTAATCGTGTTGATCTATGATGATCTTTATCGCGTCGCCGATACACTATAGATTAAAAGGTGGCATTGACAGTAATGAAATATAGAATATATTTTTTTAATCACAACTGTTTGTTCGAACAGAAAATCCCTGTTCGGTTCTTAATTCGCCACCAGTGTCTCTATACATACATAAATAATAGGGTGAATCCTCACTTGTCGGATTTATTACTACCAAAGCAGAATCTGAAAAAGGGTAGTCGTCCTTGAATTAATTAAACCCTTTGTTGCCTTTTGTCTAGATGTAATTCATTTCAGAGGTCACACTAGCTACGAAAATCCCTTTGACGATAAGAAGCCCGCAAAAGTAGGAGCGCAACGGTGGAAAAATCTACAGGCGGTCATGGCCTACTACCATTCGCTGCGAAAAATTAAGAGGTGTCTGTTTGTCTTGTGATATACATGTATGTATGTATGTATGTCAACACTAACCCAACTTGCTGCTCAAAAAACACATCAACTAAGAATTCAAGTTCATTTTTATGTTTACGCTTTGTTTTGTATTGTTTTGTTTATTGTCCTGCTTTTTGTATTATTACGTTATGTGGAGACCTTTTTATGAACCTCTCCCTAATTCCTAACGTAGAAGTGAAAAAGTTTTTTATGTTTTTATCTATTATCCCTTTTACTTCCTCTTTTTATTATTTTTTATTAGAGTCCTAGTTTTGATAGTCAGGAATTACATCTTCAATTGTTTTCCTCACATTCCACCCTGTAAACCTAAACAATTCAGAATATTACAAGCGATTGAAGAAGTATTGGAATCAGTAGGAGAACAGGGGACACTAGGTTGGTAAGACACATTCCCTGATATAAAGGACTAGTTAGAAGTAAGCAGAAACAGGAGTTAAGAGGAGTAGAGGTAGACTTGGATTAGATTATTGTTCACCAATATTTAAGGACTAGACATCCCACGATGTTCTAGTTTTAGAGAAATTTTCAAATCTAAATTAGCTCTGGATAGGAATGAGTAGAAGTGTTAGCCTTAGAACTGACGACACTATGATGATAATGGTGATTAAATCGGAAATTAGCCCAGATCATAGGTCACAAGAACTAGAATTGGGCTAGATATTCGAATCAGTCCTAAACTACATTCTAGACAATATCTAGGAGTTGCGTCCTTCTTAATTTCTCTAGACAATTTACAGGAGCTCAAAAACTCCAAAATTTCCCAAAAATTTCGTTTTTCTTAACCTCAGGTAACGGCTCCTACGAAGTTAAAGTTTGCCCGGCTCTGCTCTAAGGGTCTATTAACAGATAAACACAACGCCGCCTTCTACATTTGCAAAATATTCTAAAAAATGCATACAGGAACCTTATGACTTGCATCAAGAAGAACGGTTTATAC